GGCACAAACACAGAGCAGATACAAAATACCCCAAGGTCGCGGCACGGTACCAGACCAATCACATTGCATGAGAATTATCTCTTCACCCAATCAAATGCCTGAAACATGGCACAAACACAGAGCAGTACAGTTACGCCAAGGTCGTGGCACTACCAGACCAATCACATTGCGCGAAAAAAAAATCCACCAATCAAAATTCTAGAAAACGTCACAGTCACAGGAAGGCACACATATGGCACCAACTCTTTGACAGTTATACAAAAACTGTCACTGCTGGTAAAATCAGTAGTATATATGCACATTTACCTTCAGGTTTCTCGGTTCTTYGATATCCACTTCTGTCCTTGTGGTCTTTTCTTTAGGATCAATTGAAGAGACACTTGCCTTTTTCTCACTGCTCGGTGATTCCTCTCTATGTTTTCTGCCTGTTGTGTTCTTGTTTTCTGCTGAAGAGGTTAGTTTTTTTACATTCTTCTTTATGAATTCTTCTGATGTTGAAGTCAACATGTTGGAGAACTATTGAAAATATAATTTAAAAAATTGAAAACAATACAGTAGCAAGTAAGAAGAATGGATGAACAAATGAATGAATGTAATAGTTTGAAGTTATCAATAGCTAAATTCTTGAACTCAGAGCAGAAATTAGTATAGGTTGTAAAAGTTATTCCAACTGTACCCTTGCCACTCATTGCTAAGATTGACTAAAAAAATTCAATTACATATTWAAAAAAAGAAGTTGAAGACAGCTGGAGAACAGGGTAAAGTCAGCAGAATAGAAAGATCTGATGAGAAATACCTAGTAGAAGACCATATATAAACAGGAGATTAAACAGAGGCCCAAATACCAAGCACTGTGGTACACACACACAATGAAGTGCATACTGTACCTCATGATAATCCAGTTTCCCATCTCCATTATAATCAGCATCATCTAGTATTGTCTGGACTTCTGCTTTTGTCATTCGTTCACCTCTCTGAATTCGAAAAATAGACAAAAAGAAGATATTTTAAAAAATTATGAAGTGACTAGGGACCAGTCCATTATCTAGAGAGGGGAGGGGTCTGGTGAAAACATAGGTATGTCATATTCCCTTTTTCCTGACCCCCTTTCTGTGAAATGCATTTTTATCAAACTCCATCCCTCTCCCCCCCTCCCCAAGATTGATATAAGCTTACAGAATTATTTGAGAAATCATTACATATGCATATATGCATACTGCATTAAAATTGGTGATCCACCTGGGGCGTAGCCAGAGGGGCCTAGGGAGCTCCACCCCCTCCCCATGCTGTAGAAGTCTCAATATCTATGTAATCACTAAGCATCAAGTCTTGATGTTCTGAAAGTGGGTTTTGCCCCCCCCCCYCCCCCAAAGGTAAAATCCTGGTATATTTTGCCCCTGCATACCCACTATATGCAACAGCCCCCCTTTTATGTCATACCATGGTCAGCAGCTTGAATAGTTCATCAAACGTAATGTATCCATCGCCATTGATATCAATTTTCTTAAATGCCTTCATCAATGTCTCTTTAGTTGTAGGCTTCTCTTTGCGCATTATATCACAGAACTCATTGTAGGTTATTTTATCTGTRAAAATGTTGAACGATTTTGAAGTCAAATCTCCTTCCACACTTCACTTCACAACCTCCTGTCAACAGCAATCAATTAAATAACAAAAAATTATTGGGTTACCTGTGGTTGGTTTCCAGTATTTCTGCAAGATCTTCTTGGATGGATTTCTACCCCCAAACTGCAAGGCTACAAACAGTAGTTTATAAGTTAGAAATACTACAAATATACACTTATTTTTATACAACATTGTCAGTCTGGGATATGAAATCTGAGACTGAAGTGACTCACTGGCCGTGAGCTCTGAATTTTAATATGAATGAAAGTGATAAATGTTYATGCCAACAACTATGAGCAATATAAGGCCCATATAGACATTGGTACATTCAATGCATTGCTATGTCGTACCATTTCATAAACACGATGCGCACTGCACATCCCTATAGGCGAAACAAGTGGCAAACTGTATCAATTCATACATATAAAGACTGCTTATCATTACTAGTCTCCATCACAGCCGTTTTATTCTCGTTTCATTCGCCTACGGCCCACTTCTCTCCCCACAAACGAGAAAAGAACATGGCTGCCTCCTTGGTACAGTAACTATGGGAACAACAAAGAAGCGAGTGCCAATATGGAAGGCTTACATTTGCAGCTTTGTCGATGCTCTTGTCGTCATTCACTGTTCTAAATAAATCAATTAACTAACCTAGAACTAATTCATCCATCGAGGTTATAGGTTCGCTGGTGCTCGTAAACACAGACAAATAAGCTGCTCTGCATTCTTTCATAAAATGATCAACCTTCGTAGTCGATTCTCGACGAATCTCGCTAGAAAACGAAACATTAGAGTTCTTGGACGAAGTACTTGTGTTTGAGGACTTTCTTCGAGGTATTAATGGACGACGTTCATGGTCAGTCATGGCTCCTTCGGTCGTTAGTCGAATGTTGTTTTGACTTCTTCTAGACAGCCGCCATTTTGAATTAAATTAGAAACGGTATTCCGCTGAGCATTACTTTTACGGGCTCTTTGCATTCGCCTTCACACTACCCATAATACATTGCGGTTTTATAGAGGGCATCAGATCAGGGCAAACCGTACATTTGATCCTCAGAAGAACTTGCAAATGTTATCATATTCAAAAAATGCATTTAAAAAACAACCAGAAACACACCTTAAATAAACTATTCAAAATGTATAAATGTGTATAAACGAATGCTAGCACCAGTGGCAACGGAGCGGTCCTAACAAAATCACAGATCAAAGCTAAAAAGGCTGGTCCCCCCGGGGGGGGGGGGGGGTACTCCCTTTGTTCAGGTGGTAGGGGTGTTCGGCGGTCGATTTTTAAAATGGCCCCTAAAGGGTACGCATAAATTAAGAAGGCTCTCCGGCGGGCTGGTCTCCTTGGTTGAGTTATACGTCACTGCCTGGAGTTTCACAATGTTTCTTCGCTATAATATCTGCAAGTTTTGACTCATATTTTCGACATTTTAAAGCTTCTGAAATGGTGAAAAATCACGAAAAAGATTCTGCGTTCACTTCATGATCAAGACCTTCCGAATAAGGTGAGCTTGCCAAGACCTAACAAATATGGATTGTCCCGCGAACGACAATTTGATTTATGAAAAAAAGTTGATATAGTGATTTTGTTGTGTTCCACTTGAGCTTTCTCCAGGTTCTCCGGTCTTCATTCCTCCTTYAAAAATTTATCATGTGAATTGAATGTGTATTGTTTAAAAATAATTGARATGTAGAGGTCCTGCCGGTATGAAGCGAACCCTACAAAATGGATCCAACGATATTATTCAGCGCTGCAGGTGTATACGGTACGTTTTTCAAACTCGGCTGACTCAATGATTCTGTCAAATGATTACCCCTAGTCAGTAGAATTCCCTGTCTTGTTAATTAATAAAATTAAGGCAAAAAAAAGTATATTTAAGAAGGAAAAATAAAATTTAGTAAATAAGCTTGTTCTAGGATAATGTAAATTATGAAAGTATTTGTATTCTTACAAGATCAGTTCTGCCTTTTGCTGGCGTAGAAACCGTGGAGATCTTTAGTCTTAAAGTGTTAAAGGACGGTTCGTTTTATCGGATAAGTTAAGAATGCTAACCGAAAACTACCCGCTGGGTACCTTTGTGAACTCTTAATAAACTTATACTTGTCGTGCAGTGAACATTAGGGCAACAAGTAAGACGTTATATTATATATCATAATTATTGGCTTTACTTTTGCATACGCTGATTTGTAAGTGGTTGTGATGTACGAGGAACCGAGCTTGTAGCCCGCTGTAATACGATTATCAGTGCAAGGTAAGGAAGCCTAGCTCTTTTTGAACTATCTTTTACTATTCATTTGATAACTGAGTTTGCAAGCCAAGTCCTCTGTATTCTTATATTTCATTTGGCCTGCCAGTAGAGTTCCGACTACAATATGTACATAAATATAACAGGTCCGTTGGGAAGAATAATATCCCGTGAATCTATTGAGAGACACCGATTAGAAAACTCACCTCTCAACAAAACCAACCCTGAAGCCATTCATTACAGACTTGTTTTGCATGAAAAAATAAGTTAAATCGTTCCTTTTTTTATTTGAATAGCTGAGGTTCAAATGTTTTTCTCTATGTACCTCTGGTCCGGGTTTATCGATCCGCAAAACTAAATCTACTTTCTTTGATCTTCATTGGAACCTAGCCAGTGCGTGCATCCAAACAACGACAGTTTGTGTCCGGATGCACGCAGATTATTGAAACCACGTTCAAAGGCCCAATCTGTGTAAATGCCATTAGCAAATCCGATATCTTTTTATTCTACTCTTGCTTTTATTGAAAACGCACAAAGCAAAATCGCTCTTTTTTTACTTTTTTTTTTATCTCAGGTACTAAAATTATGAAAATTTTAAGTTTCTTTGATTTCTTACATGAATTATTTATCACATTTGGGATCGGAACAGCAGAAGTGTATGGAATACCAATGTACGATTTTTACATGACCTATACATATTTTTCTTTTTTATCTCAGAAACAGAATATATCAATGAACTTTTTCATTGTYGAAATATATGAATTACTTCAAGGGAAGGCGCGCGTACGGTTTATATCAGAAATACCAGCTCGTCATGATCAAATGCCGTACAAGTTCCCTCCCCATGAAGTATCTGATATGACACAACAAGCGCTATCTTTAGAAGAAAAAWATATATTAATGGAAATGAACACAGTTATGACAAATGATTATAACTGACCTAAAATGTGATCTAAAAATTACCGAAATAATATACCGAAATAAAATTACCGGAATAATATTACTGCGGGAAAAAATATCGTTCGGTTATCAAACTGATACGTCAAGAAGAAAATTGAAACCAAAGTTTCAATTCTCTTCAACCAAATAATAGATTGTTTATATTACATCTGAGGACATCATAAAACAGCCCCCGCCATTCCCACTGAAAAAAAGAAAGAATAAAGAAAAAGAAAGAAAAAGAAAAAGCGTTTGGACATTTCACCGTCGCAATCACGTAAATTTTGTCTGCCGGAGTTTTTCAAGATCCTTCGCTTTACCTTGCTAAAGCAATTAACCATGAGTTAGCCTCGATTGTGTATGGAATTATTGTGAATAGGATAATTTTTTTGTTCCATCGATCCATGAAAGGTCCGTGGAATTTCAAAGCGGTGTTTGTATTGTTAAAATTATGCATTATTTACCGTTGGTATTTGTGAACATTTAGACACCGAAATGAGGAAAACCCTGCGTAAATGAGTCTCTGATCAAAGAACTAAACAGCGGACTAATTCGAAAACGGTCTTTTTAGCAAAACCGTAGTAAATATAGTCAATCAGTGATGATTTTCACAGCCGCCATGTTGGATAAATCTAAAAAAAGATTCGTGATTAGTCTCTTTTGTCATATCATCCAACATGGCCGCCGTGTCTTTTGTTATTTCACTCTCTTATAGCTTGGGAATGATTGAAAACCAGCAATGGTTGATTGAAAACTATGGCAAAACTGAGCATTTGAGTCGGGCTCCCTGTGGAAAAAGTACTGACCAAAACTACTTTGATTTGTTTTAGGAAAAATGGGAACGAATAAAACTAACATATGAAAGATTCGAGTCTGATAATGGAGTTACTTATTGCTATACTGATCACAGCCTTTCAAAATCTGGAAGCTGTGCTCGGCGATGATACGTGTCCAGTTGTCAGATACACTGGCAAATTCAATGAGAGTGATCACGTGAAAGACCACGCCCTGACTGGACGATCCTACAAAAACCTGACCACCAATACCGTACAGGAGTGCTTCAGTGTCTGTATAAATGACTGTCGATGCGTGTCTTATCAACTATCTGGTAGACGATGTGAGCTGATTGACGAGGACAGACACACAGCTCCTGACCTTTTTAAACGATTGTCTGGATACAAGTACTACGAACTGAAGCAACAGTTTAAAAAGGTACGATGATCAGAATAATATTTAATGCAGGGCAAAAACACATCACATGCTTTTGTAATCCTTCTATGAAAAAAAATCAATGCACTTCTAAAATTTTCATTTTTCTAAATTGAGTTTTTAATCTATTGCAGTCCAACAGTGTTGGTTGTTCAAGTCAGTGTAATAATGGCTGTTGTCGTTATTCTAAACCTTGCCTTAACGGTGGAACCTGCATCGAGACGTGCCAAAACGTCACACACAAGTTTCTGTGCAAATGTCCACAGGGTTTTGGTGGAAGAGTTTGCCAGACTCCTCCTTCATGTGCAGCGTACAGCCACATGTCTGTGCCAAACATCTATCCAATCCAAACAACCAATGGTAAAGTTTTGAAGGTGTACTGTGATATGACGTCAGAGCCGGGGATGGTGTGGACTTTGATCGAGTCGTTTGTGTCTTTATCGGGGAAGCCGCAAGACCGCAAGGCCTTATATAAGGATTTTCCCTCCAACGAAGGAAATTTCACCTGGTCTGACTATCGATTGTCACATAATGCTATGCAACACGTCAAACGTGACGCTACTCATTGGAGAGCCACTTGTAAATATGACACTGATGGGCTGAACAAAACAGACTACATTCGGGGACGTTTGAGTGAAATGGATATTCTGACGTTCGCGGGTGAATTTGTATGTGCTAGAGTTGAGTACATCAACGTGCGTGGAATCAGCTGTGAGAACTGCACTGCTGTTCTTAAGCAATTGGCAAATCGTCATATTTTTGTCGATAGTGCTAAAGGGTTTTATATAGGCTGTGATTGGGATGGAAGGGAAGGAGCAATAAGGAAAACAGCTCAGAATTATTGCAACAATTTTGGATTTTATGACACCCAATATAACCCTGCACATCGCTGTACAGCCTCGCAGTCTTCTACCACACAATGGTGGCTCGGGACAAAGAATTGACCTGGACAATAAAAGGTGCACGAAAAACTGACACCCAATATAACCCTGCACATCGTTGTACATCCTCGCAGTCTTCTACCACACAATGGTGGCTCTGGACAGAGAATTGACCTGGACAATAAAAGGTGCATGAAAAACTGACACCCAATATAACCCTGCACATCGCTGTACATCCTCGCAGTCTTAAACCTAGCTGTCACAAATAATAATAATAATAATTTATGATTTATATAGCGCGTTTCCTATATGTGGCGCTTACAATCACGAGAGGTGGTTAGTATTAGGTGTAGGCACTGAAGGCGGTCACTGCCAGGGTTTCCTGACGTCCTCAGTGGTTCTTTTACGTCCCTCTGTTATTGGTTAATGATGATGAAGTGTGTAGTGACGCGGCATTGCTTTTTAAAGTGGTCACCCGAACCACTTAAAAGTCTATCAAGTCAAAATTCGTAGATGTCATTACAAAAGTAGCACTTTCTCCTTATTTATTTTAACAACCTGCACAAGTGTTGATCCGGCTGGGACTCGAACCACTACCTCCGGTTCCGCGCGAGAGTTAGATGTCAAGAGGAATTGCCACAAAGAAAAAACCCGATGGCGGGTTAATATATGCATACGCGGTGCATCACGGGATCTCATTGTTATGTTAATTATTATGTTAATTTCCGGCACTAAAAATAGTAGTAAATGGCACCAACGTTCCCCCGAGTGGCCGCGATGACGTAACGTGACGTCTTGCCGCCTACCCCCTAGTAACAATACCTTTTATGAATGAGTATATATTTAAATACCAGCACATTTGGTTTTTCTTTTATCACAGTGGGTTGGCTTTTCTCTAGGTTCTCCAATTGTCCTCCCTCCTCAAACCTAACCAGCTAACTGATTTCAAATTACCCAGTGCTCCAGCTTTGATCAACCCAGAGGTCATTTCAGGGTTTCATAATATTGAAGTTGTAGTGAGCAGCGAGTTCCAAAAAAGACAGAATAGGGGCAAGAAATKTAAACCTCAGTCGAGTTTTACTCGGGAGTGAAATATCAGTTACCTGTTAACTCCTAATTTTAGGTTATCTGTCAGTGACTACCAATTTTTTGTCAATTGTCAATTGTCAAAAGCGTTTTTTTTTTTCCTTTTTTTCTTTTTCTTTCCAATTACTTCGACGAAGGACTAACGTCCGAAACGTCAGTTTAACAAAGCTTTTTACAGTAATCCAATTTATCTACAAGTTTCTACTTTTTTATTCAGAAACACCGACGCAGTCCACGCTAGTACTCTACTAGTTATCCGCACCACCCGTAGGTTAACCATGATTGGCCAGAGAATGGGAATGGAATGTAGTGCTCGATTGAGCAGACGTTAGTGGGGAGGGACGCAGCTGCTGAGGATACTAGTCGAACTTATGCTGGACTCGAACCTATAGGTTCGACTAAATTAAGCTCATGGTTAGTTCGACGTTTGCCCTAGGCCTAAGTGCTTTAACCTGAAACGCCTGCATCGGGTACGTTTTAAGACCATGATGTTGAAGGTGTCGATTTCGACGGGTAATGTTGACCTCTTCAACATACTTCTAGTACTGTTTCACGTCCATTGTTATTATCGTTGAATAATGATGAGGATTGCGCGACAATGTCTTTTACTTTTACTTTGTATTCAAATAATGGTAATTATCATATATATAAGCAAACACTGGCGTCTACATGTGAGAGAAGTGTTTTCCCGGCGACTGGTTACGGTAAGGGAAGTGAAAGTCGACTTTGAGTCAGAGACGAAAAAAGACAGTCAGGCACTCAGACAAACTATCAATCTGACTGCCATTTTTGATGAATATTCTCTTTATTCGGAGAAAAAAACTGGAAGAAAGAATACAACAAGGGAAAGCTATGTAAAAACTGCGGAATTTCAAACGCGAAGACATAAGGGATTCCTCAAAAATTGGTGCCGAATTCAGAATGCTAGAACGAACTGGCAAAGCATTCTTACACCTTGCGTCAACAATACAGTCTGGGGGGAAAATAATTTACAAAACGTCAACCAAACCGATGGAACTAAAAGTTTTATATCGTTTTGGGATTTGCAGCCGGCTGGCCGTTTTAGCAGATTCTTCATTCAGTCTGTCTCTAGAAGTAACGAAAATAAATCAACAGGAGGTGACGCATGGCGCATTCATTTACGGGGACCAGCAGTCGTTGTCCCCACTGTCTTCGACCTCAATAATGGAGTCTATGAAGTTCTTTTCCTTTTAATAGAACCTGGGAGATATAGGGCTGAGATTTATCTTGATTATACTTTATGTAATGGATTGAAGGATCCCCCGCCATATTGGTTTAAATCAGGTACCTGAAAGATCAACGTCAACCTCAAGCATGTTAAGGCTTGGTATTTTTACCGGTTTGTTGAAAAAACACATTTAGTTTAAGCTTAAGCTTCTGAAATGGAGATTTGGACCTAAAGTTATATTTCGGTTTCTTAAAATGTTAAGCATGGTCTTTTCGACTTCCGGTGGTCACGTGACCATAAGAGAGCAAAACAGAAATTTCAAAATGGGCTGGCGGTTTTTATACAAATCAAAAATATTTTTATTTGAAGTTGTTAGGTACATTGACCTTAACAAGAATCTGTCCGGAATAGGTGTCCTTCGCTTTTCGCTAAAGGGATAATTGACAAAACAGGTCACGTGACCGAGTCAAAATATTGAATATATTTATTTTTTGCCTTAACTAAAAATGATTTCCAACTATTCCGGACAGTTTCTTGTTATGATTATTGTACTTAACAATTTCACATTGAAAAATTTTCGAGTCACGTAAAAACTCCCAGCCCATTTTCTCGCCTTAAGGACACGTGACCACCCGAAGCCAACATGTCCACAAGAAACCTAATTATGATTTTAGCCCCAACACTCAATTTCATAGCTTTAAAATTAATATCATCGATCCATCAAAAAACCAAGCCTTAACATGCTTGAGACAAACTGTGATATATCAATGATATATATGAGACGAGGGAAGAGGAGAGAGAGAAGGGAGCGAAGAGGATGGGGATTATTTTTCAAGTATTTCTAATTTTATAGTTTTATTATCTTAGGCTCAGGACAAACGTCGCACCGAACCTATTTAACATAGGCTCGGTGGAAGGTCGACTAAGAGCCTAGGTGGCAGCAAACGTCGAACCAATATCGATCTTAATTCACTCACCCATTGTTATTATAATTTTTATTGGACATGAAAATGCACGGGTGAACGGACATTTGTTTGTCTTTTCCGAATTACAATGCATTCACAATACGCAATATCATCTCATCTTCGTTGTTCTCGAATACAGCACATTTATTGCAGGTAGGCATCTCTCAAACCAGGCAAACGCACTTGGCTTGTCTAACTTATGCTGGACTAGAACCTATTCAAACGAAGGTTTGCACTTGCAATATTGGCCGTTTTCTTTATAATAGAGATATCAAAAATAAATGGTCGCAAAGCCTCTTGGGTAATTATGGGTGCTTGCTCTCTTTTTAAGGTAATTCACAAGGAAAGAATCAACCAGATGGAATACTCCAAGGGGATAAACCTTTTCTTATTCAAGAGTTTCGTGAGGGTGAAGTGATAGAGTTTGATATGATGGACGCGGAGGACCACAACCTCGGTAAGGAATACTTTCAACCACTCGCTCTGGGCCGATCAAAGTCAGGGTACGGCTTACTCACAGATCAAACCCGGAAACGACCTCTGGGCTGATATAAGTCAGGGAACGGCTAACTCACAGATCGATCCCCTGAAACAATCTGGGCTTATCTAAGTCAGGTTACAGCTAAACCACAGGTCGAACCCGTAAACAACCTCTGGGCTGATCTAAGTCAGGGCATGACTAACTCACAGATCAAACAATGAAATAACCTCTGGTTGATCTAAGTCAGTGCACGCCTAATTCACAGATAGAACCCTGAAACAACCTCTAAGCCTCCTGCTCACAAAGAGGAAAGGCTTGAGGCACGTGGAATAATAACGAAGAATGGTTTGATCTTTCAGTGTCATCGATCATTATAATGAAGTGCAATGAATTTTCTTTTCAGTAGATATAAAAGAAATCACAGAAACAGCCAAGTGCTCTTGTCCTTCGTTGCTGTGGGATGGTTTAGGACGATGGGCTAATGGAACGTGGAAACCATTCCTGAAGACAGGTAAAACGACACTCATACTTGATCCATCTTGTACTCTTAGTTAGAGTTACTATGTCCCACAAGCTCAACAACTTAGACAAATTTAAAATTCTGAACCATGAATGAATTAAAAAWAATAATTTTTGTTGACATGGCTGAGTCACGAAAGAGCATGGATCAAGTACCTATTTTGAAATTGATCTAGTAATTATCTATTTCGACAGTGTTCACAGCCTGGGACATCTCAGGAAGCTAGTATAAAGAGGACCATGATTTCAATTACAATTACAAGACCAGTGTCCTCTTATCTATCATACCTTGTTGTCAAAAAATGCAGAAAGATTTATTTTGAAATATTATATGTATGTTTTTTTACTTTTCGTCCAGAAACCCTTCAATACAGAAGGCCAACCACGAACGGAACCCTCGTCATCTTCGGAGACTCCGTAGCCATGGGCTTCTATCATACTATCCACGACAGTACCGAGGGTATTTGTACTCGTGTCTTCTCCTCCTGCAAGGTGGTTTATAATTGGGTTTATAATATGAGAGGGTACTGGGGCGATGGTGTGACGTCACCAAGGGAGCCGCTGCCTGATGGGAAGGACTATGACGTCAAACGAGTTCTTGATGATGTCAGAGAGGTTAGTCGTTATRCGTAGACATATCTCAGAAGTTGTCGTCAGTATGAGCCATGAAATGTTCCATCATGCATTGTGGGCACTTTGAATATAAAAAACTTCAAATCCTTTGAGTTCTAATTTGAGTAGTTGCGTGTTTCTGCATGACCTTCTTCGAGCATCCTAGTTGTACTAACTGCGACCGCAGGTTTAGGGAAACACACTCTAGGATTAGCAATGAAAAGAAATGAAAAGAAAAGAAAAAATGCCGCTGTGTTGCTTGACCACAGGCTTGTTTGCTTCGGGTTAGCCTTATTTCAGCGCCACATCGTATAAATTTGTAAAAGTTGAAAGTTTTTTGTCATATTACATGCCTTACTTCGCTCGTTCTCCATTACAGGTGTTATACAGCCCATACATGGACGAACACAGTGTACTCATCCTAAACTGGGGAATCCATTTTGCTGCTGTTGCGAACTTCACCTCTTACCAGACGCTTATCAACAACTTTGTCCGTATCATCAAACACGGTGAAACTGATCCAAAAACTGGCAGATTTAGAAAATTCCGTGGAAAACTGATTTGGAGATCAACTACAGCACTTAACAGACATAGGTTCCCTAATCCACATAAAGACGTTCGACGCTTTTTAACTTTCCCGCGTGTTTTGCTTTTCAATGCTTTTGCCACGTCAGCGATGTGCGAGGCTGGTATTGACGTCATTGACGTTTATCCAATCACAGACGCTCATCCACAAGGAACTGTGTCTAAAGTCGATCCAGTGCATTATAGTCATCATGTGTTTTTCGATGTGAGAAGACGAATATTTGACATATTTAAACCATATTAAAATAGCAGGGAAAGAAGTCGGATGAAGAGGCTGAGACCTTTATTTATACAGGGAGCCCATTTTAAATAAAAGGGAAAGGTGAAAATTAAATCGGGAAAAAAACGACTTTTATCATATATTTTTTGTATTCAAGGTCAAGTTAGTGTCTATGATAATGTAAAAGAGGCGAAAAATTCATAAAAAATGCACTACGACATTTTGTTTTCCTATTCAAAACTGAGTTTTGTAACGTGTACACGACCCACCACCAACCACTCGACAGGATCAGTTTTGTTCTTGAAAATTGCTTACTATCAATCACGTGACTTTTTGGAGTTGACTGGGGGGCAAACAAGCGGTTGACTAGGGGGCAACTAGCGGATGCTAAGTCAAAACATATCAAAATAAGTTCTCAAACTATTGTATTTGACTATTTTCACGACATCAAACCAGAAAACAAGAGATCGAAACAACCTCCAGGATTCTATAAGCCATCAAAAAAGGGGCTATTACCGGAAGTGACGTCTATTGATAGCAACCTATTCCTTCGACAAATTTCTTCATGGTCGATTTTTACGCTTTGTTGGTTGGGTTTACTTGAAAAATGAAAGATAACTAGAGATAAACCAACACTTTTTCAGTGAAAATTACATGGATATCTTCCATTTATACTAACTCCAAATTGGAGATTTTCGTGCACACTTTTTAGATTATTCAAAAGTATTATTTGTAATGAGATTATTACATTTATTCTATGTGTATAGATAATACATTTACATACTTGATTATCTCTCCTGTTCTTGCTCTTTCGTATGCAGGATGAAGTAGATATCTTTTCCATCTTTGGGTGACTATAATGATAGAATACTACTAGTACATGCGGTCCACATATTCTCATCTTTCATCATAATTACCGCGACCTAACATCTATTTCACCCCGTCCTGCTCTCAGTCTGACCTCTAGCTCAATTTGGTAGAGCATCGATAGTACGATTCCGAAGGTCGTTGGTTCGATTCCCAGCGAGGTCGGAAATTATTTTTTCCGAATTTAATTCCAAGGGCTTTCGCCCGGAATAACCTCGTTCCCAAGCACTATAACTTAGTATATTTCTATATCTTCATGTGGGATTGGTTTTGAATGAATAAAACGACGACAGGGCAGGCTGTTGGTTGTTTATTTGGAAGCAAAATGATTTTTATGGCGAGACAGGTAACTGATCCCGCTACTGATGCCTATGAGTCTCAAGATTCTTTGCACATGCTCTATGTTTGGATTTTTGCTGTACTTCCCGCCATTGCCAGAAAACCACAGGTAGACCAAGTAATGATATTGTGAAAATACAGGGATTAAAATTAGCGGAACGACAAAGAAGAAAATTATGGTGGCCCATAAAAAAAATCCAAATTAAGCTGAGGAGTATCGCTTGAAGTTTCTCGGCTATAAAGTTAGAATATTTTAAATCGATTAGAATTCGTTTAATTTCGTGGCTAATTGTGTAGTTCAGTCCTCCAGCTGTTACAATTAGTCAATGCCTCAAAACATGTAAATTTTATTTAATATTATAATTAATTGTAATCAGAGGCATTATTATTAAAAGAATCTTGAATCTTAAAAAGAATCTTGAAAGAATCTTGAATCTTGCCGGAGAAATTGGCCAAAAATTAAAGCAAACTAAACCACTCAGTCCCAATCGTCAAACTGCAACACGATTTTTTTTAAGCAACTCGTTTCTTATTTGCAGCAACTCGTCTAATATGCAGCAACTCATTTCTCACTTAAGTTGCTTATTATTTGTAGCAACTCGTGTAACTTCCGTTTGCTGCAGTTCCGACACAAAAAGCAAAGGCCATCAGAAAGAATAGTCATTGCCAGTTTTGTAACTCCTTTATGAGCATTCATTTTCGTAGTGTGTTTTAGAGCCTTGGCCTCGTCATGCATAGGGAACCAGTCATTATTTAAGTCGGAGGGGGGAGGGGTGGAGGAGAAAATGTTTTTGATGCAAACTCATCCCCCCCCCCTCCGACTTAATGACTGGTTCCTAGGTTTAGCTGATTGGTTTAACATCATATATTACCAGGGGATGGGGTGGGGGTAGGGCACGAATCATTGATTTAACACGTTAATTAAACTGCTAGCTTAGCCCAGTGAGTCGCCCAGTGAAGCGTTCCCTCATCACGTACAGTCATGGACTGTATACTATTCATACAAAACTTTGGGAATAAACATTATTTTTTGACTGTATTTATGACCTTTGTGTAACTTATCATATTACAGTATAAGTGACATTAGCTATTTACCTTGGTTAGCCATCAAAGTGCTAGTCTTACGAAAATTATACCAACCCTGGAAATTATACCATATAAAACTAGACAAATAATGCAGTTTACAGTCCAAATTCTATTTTGATACGAGAACGGGAAGATGTTGTATTTAGCCGTGCATCGAAAAATATGTCGCATCCAGTATTATCTATTTATTTTACAAAACATTTTCCGTGTGATTTTTAATAAAGTATATGTCTATATTTACGGCCAACTGATGTCACATGCGTGGGAAGCTTGCTCACCGTGACAATGAAATGGCTTTCTTCTTTGTGATTGGATGGTGAGCATCGTCACTCTGCGTTTCGCGTTTTTATTGGTTCAGATCGAGTAGAAGCCACTTGAGTGACACAGTAACGTATGTTTTATTCAATTAAGGATATAATCGACCGGAAAGCTGAGAAGGATCTAGAAACGATTGATATTCATACTTTCCGTTTAGTTAAAATGCTTTATAATTGACAATTAATAATAACGATCTTTAAATCCATGATTAAAATCATTTTTAACGATTAAAATTAATCTCGGTAGGATACAAGGACTAGAGAGTTAGTAGGATACAAGGGCTAAGTTTGAAATTCAAATACTCAAATTCATCTAAAAAATCCACCCCCCCCCCCCCCCC